CTCAGTCCCGTTGTACGTGAACTGAGGAAAGGTTGGGTTGTGAAAAATTGTTCTTTTATAGTCAGGCGCTATGAATGCGCACTGTCAGAGACCAGGGTCGAGACGAAGGAATGTCTCCATAACGGAGGGCTTCGGCCTCAGCGACTTCTGCCAAGAGCACTGTGCCTAGTGACATGTCTGTGCCCTAACTTACTGACTGGCAATTAGAACCTAGGGGGGGTAACTCTAGTTGATTTTTCTACTGGGGCGTAACCTATGTACAAGTGGGATATATATATGGTTACAGCGGAGACGGTTCCGCAATTGGCGGAGCCGAACGGAGCGGAGCTAACGGGGTTTAACCATTAGCCGACTGAATATTACCGACGAGTCGGTTCGCGGGGTTAGCGGAAAGGCAGGCGATAACCCAGAAACGGAAAGGAGGGATAAGCCTGAAGGTGGACTCTGCAGGGCAGGCGAGTGTATTGCCCAGCGGAGGCGGGGGTGCGCTAGCGGACGTCGGAGCTGTCCGGAAGTCTTTGGGGCTCCGTACTTAGGGAGGCGTAGGTAATAAATTGAAATGAGGGGGTGGTGACCATCGAGGGGTACCGAGAGGATTGCGGAATAACGGGGGCTCTGTTAGATACTGATCCGGGGTCGGCACCGAAGGTCGCCGTTAGCAGGCCGCTATAGGCCGCGATGGCTGTGATGCCGTGACAAGGCCCGAGGGTAGGGCATTTGGCCTCAGCAACTCTAAAGGGAGTGCTGTGCCCCCTAGTTGTCTCTTGGCCCTCATTTCGAACTTACTGGGGCTGCCTTGTTGGGGTCAGGGCTTGGGGTCGTGGTCAAGTCGATATTAGAGCTAAGGTACTATAATGTAGTATACAGGATATATATATGAAGGTGAAATGAATAGAAGCGGACCCGGGCCGAAGGCCGAAGGGTCCGGAAGCAAACAAGAAGAAGGAGCGGGGTTGGCTGCATAGCGGCCAGCAATGACCGAGGGTCAAAACAAACAATAATAGATAAATAAAGGAAAGAGCGTAGGGCCGCGATAGCGGCGATGGTATCGTAGCGGCACTGGACTCGGAGTTGGGCACGGGGATGATAGCGGCCCTGTAGGGGCCAAGTGGGCGGGGTAGGGGAGTCGCGCTGGGCACGGTGCCGGAGGCGGACTCAGGGTGGGGAGGTTGGTGCAGCAGCGGGGGAGTCGGCCAAGTGTAGGGGAGCCTAGGGGCAAGCGGGGAAGTGAGCAGGGAGTCCTCAGGGAGGATAGGGCTGAGGTTGGGGCTCGCGCTCACGCTCGCATAGCGGGAATGGGCTCGGGCGGCATCGGGACGGGCGGCTAACGGGCCGGAATGCACGGCCGTGACAGGCTCCAAGGTTAGTGAGGGAGGAGCGGAGTTGGAACGGAGGGATCGGAGGGACCGGAAGTCGATGGCCGGGAATGGATATGACACGCACTGACTTTGGCACGGACACCACCAAGAAAGGCAATAGGTGTAAATCTAAACGCCACACGACTCAACATCACCAAACGTGAGTTGGTCATAGCGAACACCATAATACCAAGAATTCTAACACCAAAAACCAAAATGAAATGAGCCCCTATTAGCGTTGTTAAATCGGCTTCCACTTGTCGTATCTGCAATCGGGCATAAGAGGCATTCATAATGTAACCAGTTAGTCGGGATGAATGTGTGTGTGTGTGTGTGTTTCGTCCGTCCGTTCTACATCATGTGTTGCACAACAGGAGTCAAGAGGGACTGAGAGTGGTATGGTGGATCGCGTTGTCCATGCATCTTTTTTTTTTTCTTTTTTTTTTTTGATTGAAGGTATGTGACAAGCACTAGTTGCATGTGCGCCGAACAGAACGCGAACTTGTCCTCGTGACACTCACATGCATATATATATATATATTGTTACGTCAGGTGAATTGTAAGTATATCACCGCACATGAATTGGAAAATTGCAGGAAACAAGCACGTGTTTAGGCTGGCGCCCCCTAAAATCGTAAGAAAAGAAATGGCCTATTACGATAGGCCATAAATGCTGGAAGACCGTGCAAAAAGAAAAGAAAAAAAAAGGAATACCATTGAGGCACCAATGTACTTGTATCTATTCACTCCTTTCAAAAATGCTAAGCGAGGCTACTACTGCCACAGTATTTGTATGAGTCGGACAGGAGTGTTAATTACAGTGGCTTTATAAGAAGTTGTGATGCCTATCTTGAGTGCATGGGCGCGCAGGCAAGAGGGCACGGGTACATATACGTCTGGCCGCCGTCCATCTAAGTGAGTGTGATCATCCATCATTCCGAGCGGTTGTACCTAAGTGGGATGATGGGGGGGAGAAAAGTAGAAGTAGCACATGATCACAGTGTATGAGGAGCTAGTTCATGGTCCACATTTTATCAGGGTGTGTGGTGTGCGTGTGTGTTTGGGGGGAGTTGGCCAGTTGGAGAAATGGATACCTAGATACCCTGCGAGTAAAGGAAGGAAACCTCGAGCGGTCCGATGAAACAGTGAATTGCATTAAGCAAATTTATCGCCGATCATGATAACGGCTTATCATCAGATCAGCGGATGCCCTTTTTGTTTTAACAAAAAAAAAAACAAACAAACATTCTTCTGACGAACCTTTGCTGAACAGCCCCAAGTTCAAGTTCAATATCCAAAAACGGGTTGACAGCCATGCACAATACACGTGCTGCTCGCCTATTTCCAAGCTTTCTTCACCCTACCCTCCCCCTGAGAAAAGAAAAGAAAATCGTGTAGAGTCCCCATGTAAGGAGCCAGCATGTATGCTGAGGTGTGGGTCTAAGCTGTGCAAGACTTTAGTGAGCGCTGCGAGAAATGGCGGAAGTTTTCTGCATGCCACCGGCATAGATGTACCAGGTGAGGAGTCCGACTACAATGGATCACAGTATAGTACGTTCAATACTGCATCGACAGAAGAGAGAGGGATCTGGGGGGAAACGCAGGAAGTTTCCAATACCTCACTCGGTCTCCAAAAGCACCGAAACATAAAAGCCATAGACTCGTCCCAAGGAGCCCGTGCACATCCAAGGCTAGAGTGAAGTTGTGTGCAGTCCCATCGATTTTTGATCGGAATCGAACTCACAAGGGAGGGAAAGGGAAAGAAAAAAAAAGGGGGGGTCCCTGTGGCAGCAGTAGAAATTCAGGGATCTGTGGCGAAATAGACAATCTGCAAGGACAAAAGGAGATGTTCGCTCCCATAAACGCTACTCGATTGGGCCGCCGGAACTGGGAACTGATCTAAATATATCCCCAAGTGTTCAGACTGCAGAGTATGTGGCACCCCACCCGTGAACTACTTGCGTCACTGGCTGTTTTTTGCTTCAAATCGGTGAGTCAGTGTTCCTGGGTTGAACAGACCCAGTCGTCTCGGCCAAGATTCGAAGTCCAGACGTTGAGCTGCAAGATTGACTTCAGACAGAATTTAGGCAGCTAGGGTCCAAATAACACTGTGCCGTTACACCAGTGCGAACCATCATAGCGTAACACGGCAGTCGAAATTGCAGACAGAGAAGGGAGGAGCTCGGTAAGGATTCTAAGGAACATGCCGACCTGTTGTTTACGCTTCCAGCGTCGAACATTGGTTCGGCATCTTTCTGACGGCTCTTTCCATCCAACACCCACGAAACACGCCAGGGAGGAAAGTTAGTGGGCAATCGAGCGACTGAGAAGGCATTCTTGGCTGCTCTCGAGCTGCAGCTACGCTGTTGAAATAACCACCTCAGCCTAACAGGGCATATGGTGTAATGGCTGTGCACACTGAGTTTGCGATCCAGAGGACTGGAGTTCGATTCCCAGTATGTCCAACTTTTAGGTTTCCCTAAAAGACCATGTGCAAATTCCAACTTGGTGGACATTCTGCGGAATACACCGAGCACACCCAAATCCGGTTGCTGCCACGTGAGCTGGGCATGTGAAGTCAAGCATTAAATTAGCCAGCCTGACAAAGTTTCAGGGGGTGTAGCTCAGAGCACTAAGGACCCAAATCTGGCTGCTTCAGACCACATGATGTGGACATGTAGGAGATTAGCAGTAAGTCCGGCCTGAATATAAATTCAGGGGGTGACAGCTCACGGGTTGTTGGAACCCCAGTGGTTTGGGTCACATGTGGATCACATGGTCAATCCAATGTGAAGGGGGTGTGTTGAAATAACCACCTCAGCCTAACAGGGCGTATGGTGTAATGGCTGTGCACACTGAGTTCGCGATCCAGAGGACTGGAGTTTGATTCCCAGTATGTCCAACTTTTAGGTTTCTGTCACGACCATGCATTCCGGCCTGTTAGCCGCCCATCCCAATGCCACCCGAGCCTATTCCCGCTGTGCAAGCGCAAGTGCGAGCCCCGACCTCAGCCCTATCCTCCCTGAGGGCTCCCTGCTCACTCCCCCACTTGCCCCTAGGCTCCCCTACACTTGGCCGACTCCCCCACAGCCACACCGACCTCCCTGCCCCGAGTCCACCTCTGGTACCGACCTAGTGTGACTCTGCAACATCGCCTACTCCGCTATGATACCATCGCCGCTATCGCGGCCCTACACCCCTTCGTTTATTTATCTGTTATTGTTTGTTTTGACCCTCGGTCATTGCCGGCCGCGGTGCGGCCAACCCCACTCTTTGTTCCTATTTGCTTCCGGACCCTTCGGCCTTCGGCCCGGGTCCGCTTCTATTCATTTCACCTTCATATATATATCCTGTATACTACATTATAGTACCTTAGCTCTAATATCGATGTGACCACGACCCCTAAGTCCTGACCCCAACAAGGCAGCCCCAGTGAGTCCGAAATGAGGGCCAAGAGACAACTAGGGGGCACAGCGCTCCTTTAGAGTCGCTGAGGCCAAATGCCCTACCCTCGGGCCTTGTCTAAGGCATCGCGGCCATCACGGCCAATAGCGGCCCGCATCGGCGACCTTCGGTGCCGACCCCGGACCAGTGTCTAACAGTTTCCCTAAAAGACCACGTGCAAATTCCAACATACACCCCATGGAATCTTCCACGATACTCAAGCCCAAATGGGTCCCCATAGAGCAGTTGAGGCCAGGAGAGAAAAGGAGGCAGAAAGGGCTCATCAAGCTCTGTATTGACCTAAGTCCTGAGATCATGGACATGTTGATACGGAGCTATGGCCCGTATCCTCTCTTCTGGTGCTTCGACGTGCGTGCTGTGGTGAGTGCTATGGTGAGTGATGCCTCCGTGGAAAACTTGAAAACCACACTAAAATTTCTCATTGTCTAACCAGATTCAGGAACTTGAGGCAGGGAAGCAAGGCGGTTCGGAGGGGGAGGGGCCGGTATTCATGGTCACCCGCAAACAACATCCCATGGGCCTCCATTCCAGGGAGGCAGTCAGGGATGCTATTGGGGGGCACCATCGGCCGCTGGGATGTAGTACTGGTTCCCCAACGACATCTGCAGCTCCATTCCAATCCTACCCGCCCACCTGCGTGCTTCCCCCCTCTCACCCCGATCAGCGGGGGCCAAATCTTGGTGCGCTGTGGATAAGACCTCAACCTTTCCCCATCCCACTACCACCGCCGCCTATACCACTGCCGCCGCCGCCGCCTATGCCACCGCCACCGCCGCCACCCCACCCCCTCCCCCAGTTCCCACTCCTTCGCCGGCTCCCCCCAACCAATCGACATCTCCAAATGTCTCATATGCCTGAATACAGACCAGGTACTCGTCAGATCTCTGTGAGTTTATCTAGTATCATTGCGTAGATCTCCCCGATAACAGTACTGGGTTGCACCGGCTAGGATGATGTACACGTTCCGACCGTTCGCGGTCGAGAACCAAACCCATACAGCACAATAGGTTCCCACCTTCCCACGGGGGGAACTTATGAGCGCAAGCCTGGCGCTGACCGTGAAGTGGAAGTTCACCTATTCCGGCAGCGCAGCCAATATATCGAGAGACAATCTCCTTACCCATCAAGCTCAATACCAGCGTCCTTCCAGTCAATTTGTCCTTCATGCTTTCGATCTTGGAGCGTCGTTGTTGGAGTGTGAGCGTTGATTCGGACCGTGTCTGTATATGGCAATGAAGTAATGATCTATTTAATACATCTTTGAGTTTGCGCAGTCCCTAGCCTGGGTGTTCATGAGTCGTTTCGACGATGAGGGCATACTGCAATGGTGGTTGTAGGACTAGAGAGGGGGAACCTTCGCTTTATTTACAAACCCGCTCACTGATTGTACCCGAGATCAATATTCGCTTCTCGGGCTGTTTCGCGTCCGACATTAACTCGCATGAGGTCTTTCGGGATGCATGAATATTACTTAGTACTTTGGTTATCATGTTAGGTCTCCTCTCCTGCTAATCCCGCGTACTTATTGGTTCATTGGCACATGACTGGTGCAGACAGAAAGCTTCGCAGGAATCTGTGTAGCTTGGAACTTTGTTCAAGCGAAGTTATGATGTCATTGCTGGCTGTAATGTTTGCCCGGCAGCTCAAATGTAACCTGAGGTTCCTGACATTGGGTTGAAGGAGGCCCCCCGCAACATGCCAGTCGGCGCATTTTTGCGGACATTGACATTCTTCAACTTTGACTTGAGATGTACCCAGCTTCCGGCTTCGGGAAGCAACGGCTCAATCACCGCCCAAATTGCTCGAAAACATCGGCGGAAATGTTCGGGTGTCACATATTCTCTGATCCAAATTCTACTGTTTGTCCCGAGAGTGATGAGTCCGAGCGATTTTACCTAAAAACAGGGGGGAGGGGTGCATGGTCCCAGAGAGACCTAAGTTCGGTACGGGCTCCAAGTCAATTCGTTACGTCAGAAAGGTTAGCTAGTCACCCAGTTGAAGAATAAATAGTATCTGTGATCTAGTAGGTTGAAGATTCCTCCGTCAGCACGCTCAAAATTTGTTCTTCTTTTCAAGAATGGTACATAAGGAGGTCCCCGCGAGTAAGGAGATGAACATAGTGGGTTGCATATATCACGAACGGCCTATGATCAGCAGGCGCCTTTTTCCAGAAAATAGTTTCTTCTGACGAACAACCCTTGCAAGGTCTTTGGTTTCGCTGCGAGAACGACAGCAATCTTCCCGCATGACACTGGCATAGATGTATCGAGTGAGTACCCGACCACAATGGATCACAGCACTTTCACGGGCATCCGGGAGAATAAGAAGGTCATCGCGGCGTTGTTAAAAGCGTAGCACAGGTTGGGTTTACCGAACAAGTTCAGGAAGTACAGGACAATGCAGAGATTGTGGACGGATTTCACGAAGCCGCTGGCTGGAGGGTCACTTGACCAGTATCGGAGGTTCGGAGGTGTCCGAGAAGGACTCGGTCACCGACGGTGTGGGTTATGGAAACCCCATCTAGCTTCAAAAGCACTGAGCTATAGTTTCGTCCTCCGTGTCCTGCATTCTATGCGCAGCCCCATCGACTATATCTGGTCGCTCGTTTACTTTGACGTTGACTCGATAGGTTGTTATCAGGATATGAAATAACTGCTAGTCTAAGAGCATGTACTACTGGGAGGACAGCGATAGACTAGTTACGAGCTGTGGGCACTCATGACGTTATGACTTCGGGAAAGGAGCCTGACATTGGCCTCCCAAGCACGCTGCACTAGGTTTTCCCATAATACCACTAGGGACTCTCTGTGTCTACACTCATACCTCGAGGCACACATCGCCGAAGTACCATTCAGCTTTCTCGCATCGAATAGAGGTGTCACGGAACATTGGATTCCCACAGGGCGCGTGTTATTCTAATACGAGCTATGAGCCTCTTTGTTTCTGCATCTCCTTTCGTAATAGTTCATGCACTTGAGCATAAGCATCGTAGCGGAACGCAGCAGCCCGTGAATACTGAGGAAAATTCCTCAGTTACTCACTCACACATCCGCTTCGTTAGACGGGAGCTGCCAGCAACAAGCGTGTAATCAGTAAATCAAATCAACATCGAGTTCGGAATGTAAACAAAAGACACATTGGGATGTATGTGTCGATCGCACAGACCGTCTTACAGCCCATGATGTCCTTCCCGAGTTCCATCGGCATAGTCCGTCAGTTCACTTGTCAGAACGCACCTAGGTCGGTATGGGTGAGGGGAGGAAACCTGTCGAAGATGCCATCTTCTATTCCCTTACCTCTGCGATTCGACAGGATCGTGGAGACCACATGTAAGTCTTCTAGCTGCAGAAATGAATGGCCTCGAATCCCGATATTCGCTTTGATACCCAGGTGAATTGACATTGATGCCATGAATCCCCAAAGCTCGAAATCCTTTGGACATTCGTCATTCCACAGCAATCCTTCACGCCACCGTCAATATGACCTGACCTACGCACGGCAACACTCCACCCAAATTTGAGACCTGCGAACGCAAGGGAGTCTGTCTCGCTGTACACAGACTCTCCGAGTTGGTCTTGCCACACTTTCCGAGTCTAAGGATGGCTTTGCTGCTGAAGGTCCATGCCACGACACCTGACCCCGTTACAGACCGAGGACCATCTCATAACCCCCTCGGCCGCATCTCAACCACGACCTTTTGCCTTGCATCGTACTTGAAGATCAAGATAGCTGATCTCCGGGCTCCCTACTAGCTCAGTAGTGCGATTTGGCGTCAGGGTCATGAGGTGTCGTGCATGCTGGACCCCGCAGCATCGCTTTGTACTTGGTCCAAGCACAGGAGAATCGGGAATAGATCCCAAACGGTACAGAAAGCCTGCTTAGACACGCTCTTCCGCCGTCTAGATCTGAAAAAGCTTATTATTAATCGTTGGGGCAACATTCCCCCCGAATTACACTAACATATCCAGCAATCCAGGCTCAAGTTGTCTGGGGCCATGGATTGTTCCGATGTCAAGCCAATCCACCCGTCTCGGCAGGCAGCAAAGCTAGGGCGTATGACATGTCGACAAGTAGCTACAATCCCCCGGGTAGTCATGATACAGGATGTACATACTTATAGCTAGAGGTAGAAAGGAAACTCGTGCATATACGGGACCATCCTCAAAGATGATGAACCAACCATCATTCAGGGATAAGCTCTCGCTGCGCAACGTCGTACGAACCGGCAATCCTTAGAGATCTTGAACTCAACTTGAGGATAAAAATTCTACGTGCGCGTATTGAGGAATACGTACAGATTATCAGACCTAATTCCTCCCCCGAGTAATGCTGCCGAGACGGGGACAACTCATAAGGACCCAAGGTGATCTAGCTTTGTTTGGGTCCTGAACTTCACCCTCTAAAAAGCAGGTCTCGTCCTTAGCGCCTGGAGTGGTGCCCTCTTGAACAAAGCGAGTTTCCCTGAGAACTGTCTCAACAGCAGCCCAAGGTCATGGGAGGAGCGGTAAATTCGCGTGTGCGCTAACGCATTTCCCCTTCCCCGCGGTCCAATCTAACCACCCCCGGAAAGCAAGCTCCGCGCTGCTTCCGCACCACTCCATCCCCCCCCAACTGTCGCCTCGTGTACCATCTCATTGTCACCATCGTAAGCTTTCCGGACGCGACTCATTGTTCGAAATAACAAATATTGATCATATCGTTCTTCTCTTTTTCGGTGTTATCATCCGCAGCTCCCAATCGCAAGTCGGAGGACTCGGGCGTTCCTTACTGTGCAGTCATTCAAGTCCTCAGGAAGGATAATGGGGCGAGTCTCGGGTATATCTCGAAGAACACTTTCTTCCAGGCGCAGTATCGCGTTCAGCCAGATATCTCGGACGCCGTTGTTGTCAATTTCACGGTGCACAATGTCCATAAAACCCACACGGGTGTAGACTTGCTTACTGTGGTACGTCAGCTTGTTTCATATCCTTAGGCTCGGCTTGATGATGGCACGATTGACCAGAACTCGGACATCCCCAACTACTTCTATTTGGGACTCGTGCAAGGTCGGGATGATGTCACCTCCGTTCTTCATGCTGGCAGCTATCAGTACGCCAATGCCTTCTACCCTCTATCTCCCACTCATGAGAACAATATTCAGATACGCTTATATCGCCAACACCAACCCAAGTATGTCTAATTCCACCTTACCCGATACATGATGGCTTCGACCAACGCGTTTCTAAATCCTAGCTCCACCTGACTCGCCACCTCAAAATGTCGGCAACTCGTATACTCAAGCTACCGGCAGGCAACGCACCTCTGAATCCGCTGTTGTGCGTAACTGCCTTCACATCTCCCTAACCATTCTGGCATTCACTAATCAGGCATCCCGAAATGTATAGTGGACCCTCGACGTTTCTGCTGGTACCATCACTCCAGTATGGACAAATCCTGATGGAAGTAGGTCGACTGTTTTCTGCATCCTTTGGCTGTCATTTTACTTATGCGATCTGTTCTGTTTCAGCTCAACCACCTATCCAAATTTTCCTTCAGTCCACGGCGGTATACATCAGTGGGGACGCCGGTCAGTTCAATGCGAGGTACCCTGCTCCCATCACTTTCATTGTGAGTAGCAACTTTGTTTCGATTCGATACCACTTCTTACGCAGATTACGTTGAACGCATCGATTTCGCAGGCTCTCAAGCTCGTCACTCAGTAGTAATGCTCGGTGGTTCGTTTAAAGTGTGATTATATTAATAAATCTTACGCACTCTTACGAGTTCTTGGCCAACTCTTCTCCTTTTTCGAACGCGTCATGCCGCAGCCTTATTTGATGGAGTGGGGGCAGTTTCATTTTGATTGATGAATTGTACATTGCTAGGATGGATCTATGGGCTTCATCGTTTTCTACTGCTTTGGGTTATCTTTTC